TTGGGTTTCAATTGCAAATGAGTTGGTGGATTTACCTTTGTTTGTAGCTAATCCTGATTGGATAGCTGCCTGTGGTTAGATGTATTTTTTCTCAAGCCTTATTTTGCCCTAATATTTTCCAATGTATTTTCGTTTCTTTTTCTAGTTGTCATCCTTTCAGGTGGGTGGATTCCTTGTTGACTACCATGTACTCAGATATTTTTGTTTAATGAAAGTTTTTTTCTTATCAAAGAAAAAAGAAGTTAGTTATTAGACTTTATTATTTTATGTAAGTATGCATGTGCATCTCACATAAATATGCTCATAATGAATAACAAAGTAGTGGTTATTTACTGACACTTCACTAAAATCAGAATGTCTCTGCAAAATTTGTAAGTTTTGGTCTGCACATTATTTCCAAGTCCTTTATATTAAGTGTAAGCTTGCAACATGTCCTTCTAAGACTCGCAGGCAGGATGTCTTCAAGCTACACCATTCAAACTTTTTCTTCGACTCTTCCTTTTAGGGGTGTCTTCTGGAAATGTCTGATTATGCTAACCGTATTTCATTATATGGCATCTGAAACAAATGAATTTTGCTCTTCTTTACTAGGGATACAACCATTGATAAAAACGGTTGACCAATTATAGATGTGATTAGCAATTAGCTACCTACATAGTCAACTTATAGCATATAATACTTACCAAGTCTAGGCTAAGTTGTCTCTTTATTCTTGAGATTCTTTTTAGTTCTAAGTTCCTCTAATTGCTCGTTCGCACTTCCATTATTATTCCCTGAGGCTTTTTTTGGTTCTTAGAAGCAGTGAAGGAAAGGAAAGAAAAAGATAACCCTCTACATTCTTTAAGCCACAATTTGTTGATTTTTTTATCATGCATAAATTTCAATAGCTTTGATTAGTGGGTAAGAATATTTATACTATAAAACATGATCTTTTCCAAAAAAGTTTTTTTTTTTTTTGGTCTCAAAATACGATTTTTTGAGGGACCTATATTTGAAGGGTTATTTGGAAAATTTATTTTGAAAAATGCACACACTTAAAAGTGCACCGTCTTTCAAAAAAATAAATCAATAAGGAATATATTAACTTAGTTTGAATACATAATGAAATTGCGGATGACATTTTGTTGACGGATTAGTTGTCAAAAATTTCTTATACTCTTGTCTTTCTGTGTTTGCATTAGTCATAAATGAAACTATTCGGCAATGACTTTTCCATGTGCATTTCATAGAACTGGGCTAAATTCCAAGTTTTTGTGGGACCTATCCTACAATCTAGAGGTTGATGAGCTAATATGGCTAGCTTACTTTTCATATGTAGTCACAACCTGATGTTAATTTACACTGAAACAAAAAAAAATGTTAATTAACACTGGGCCAGCCACAAGGAATAGGCTTTGTTGTTCTGGGAGGGGGAACTTGATGTGGATTTTTCCTCACGATTATATGTGGAGTAATAAACACTTTACCGGGGGAGGGGGTGAATAGGTTTTTTAATTTTAGCCCAATTGATTACTAATAAAAACCTAAATCACTGCAATTACCTCTTCTCATACAAATTGATCAATGAATAGTGATAATCTATTTTAATCACCACAACCCAACTTAACCATGACGACTGATTTTAATTAATATTCAATTAATTCACTTAACAATCAATCTCATCGTGATCTCAAAAATCCCAATCCCAATGCACAGCTATGTATGAATAGATATTCAAACTATCATTCCAACAAACACATATTGTATGTGTTCACAATCACAAGTGTATATGAAACATACAAAGATTAACATAAGTGATTTGTTAACGCGAAAAATCCTTTGGAAAAACAGTAGGGAACCTTTTTGGTTCACCAAAGCGTAATCCACCGCTCATTAAGTCAACATATAAGTACTTAAGTGTTATACCTCAACCAATACCATGGCTAGATGTTCCTTTCTTTGTCTCTTTGCCAAAGGCCCTCCTTTGACGTCTAGTGTGACTGCACTTGAACTTCTCCGTCGCACGACTTGTCTAGGTCTTGAGCAATCATGGGCATACTAACGATTTCCGGTGTGCACACACTAATAGGTTTACCACCAACAAGATCTTTTTTTCCAAGTTGTGAGGTTGGGTAGAATGTTTAGTGGTAGCCTTTAGATTTAGGGATTTAGGTTATTGTAGAAGCTCTCAAGGTAGAAAAAAGAGTCTAGAATAAGAGTAGTCTTAATAAATAAGAAAACTCAGATTTATGAATGACCATTTGATCGTTGGGAGAGTGTTTATAGAGCAGTTGTCGCTGTAATGAAAATAACGCTTTAATCCCGACTAAGGCATGCACTGTTAGAGCGACCATGAGGCCAAGTTTGCATTGAACAAACTTTTTCTTTCTATGTTCACATGCAACCAATCTAGCTTAGTCAAGAGTAAATCTCTTTGATTCTTTTCACATGTACCTAAAATATTCTCCCATTTTTTGTCACAATTGTCAACCCAATGAAACATGCAACAATAATGGTACAGAATCAAGTTACCTAATAAATTTTTATTTTATTTGCTATAAATGTCAATTCAATGATGAGCTATAGCAATCATGATATAGAATCTTAGTACAACAAGAAGGTATGAATGCACATCAACTAGCCAAATTATGCAAATAAAATAAGGAAGGGACAAACAAAGCATATAACTCTGTCAGTATGATAAGAACATCAAGCATAGGACTAAGATTATGTCACAACAACAAAAATAACTATAGAAATAAAAGACAATAAAGTGTAAAAGTTAACAATGAAAAAGTAAAGAGTATTTTAGTACAAACTACTAATTAATATAAAAAATACTCACTTATGACCTATACTACAAGTCTCTATAAACACAGCAGCTCAAATGGCTGCATCTCTGCCATCTCCATTGTCTCATTGGGGCAGCTCAAAATTTGAATCTGTGTCATCTTGCATAGGCTCGCTTGAAATTTGTTTTCCTTTCATCAATCTCCAGAGTCGCCTAACTTTATGAACAATTGATCCCATCACAGTTTGCTAGGTCTCCTCAAGGCTCACAATCCTGCCATCTAGTGCATCCAACTGCTAAGAAGTAAGGCGGTGATGCTCAACCATGGTGCACTCAACCCAAGTCGTCATCATGTCAACAAGTGATGCTATTTGGATTGCTAGGATATCTGAGCTTGACTAAGGTGGTGGTGTCCTAGAAGTGTTAGTCTCAGGATGCACCGGTGGATCTCCTATAGCTTCTCCTCTCTCCTCAACGTAGTTAGCCAGAGCCTTGCTCAATTTTATAGAACTCTTATTCAAAGGTTTCATAGGGTTCTGCAACTAGTCACTAGTTAGAATTACAACAACATTCCCTTACAGATACGAATAATCAAAGATTCAAAAGGCAAAAGATCTGATGTTCGTCCCTCTAAAAAGGCTCTACAAATATATCCAAAAATCATCATAGACAAATCAAGACCAAACATTTTACCTATGACATAAAGCATCTGAGCTTTAGGAACAGAGAAGTTTGAAACATGGGTATTCATTATAGTGATCCATGTAGTGTATTCATTATAGTGATCCATGTAGTGTGGTTTCTCTTTTAGCCAGTGGTTAGGTGGCAGAGTAGTAACAGAGTCATCTATAACTTTTTGGTTTGTTGAACCTTGTAGCTAATATTGTATCCTAGGGTTTTGTTAAGTTGATAGAGGATATCTTTAAATATTGTGTTCAAGATAAATTACATGTAACATATATTTCTTAATCCAGTCCCAAGGATCAAAATATCGTTTCGAAACGTCCGAAACGTTTCCGTTTTCAAGGGGACCGAAACGAATCAGTGATGGAATCGAAATTCTAATACTTCAAGGTGTTCTATAATGTTTTCAAATGTTGTTATATTTTAATGCATTTGCACAATTATTTCGGAATGTTTCAAGGTATTTTCAAGATATTTTGATATATTTTGACCAATATTTTGAAAAAATAAGTTTTAAATTTTTTATTTTTTTCATTTTGTTTTCGAAACGGGTCAAAACGTTTTTGAAATACATCGAAATGTTTCCGTTTTCGGGGCGACCAAAATGGTGCACCGAAACGAAATTTTGATCCTTGCCCAGTCCTAGATTTGACACTAGAAATTGCAGGCTCAATGTGACAAAAAAGGGCAAATGTAATTAGCAAGCTGCAGCTGCCATAAAGCCCATGCCTCATTTTTGAGTTCAACTCTAGGACATGTACCGCTAATTACTGCATGGAGTTATTCTTATATAAAATGATATAAAGGAGAGGGGTTCAAGTTTTGGACTTCGTAGTTTGAAAACATGGCAACTTAGGGTGTCATTATGCATATGGTGGTGCATCCATAAGGCAAAGAGTTGCTAACATGGAAAGATTCTTTTTCAGAAGCGTATATAACTCACTGATTATTGGCTTATTCATTTCATGTCCATAACTTCCTCTTTTTCATTTTTGTCATTTGCAAAGCTGATGGAATCATGGTGCTAGTTAGGGGTGTTAATTGAGTGGAGTTTTGCGAGCTTGAGCTCAAGAAAAACAAATTAAAAAAATTGTTCAAGTTCAGCTTGTTTAGAAAATAAGCCGAGCCTGAGACTGAGCCCAGGTTGAACTCGATTCAAGCCCAAGAAGCTCGACTATTTTCCATATAAACAAGCCTAAAAAATTGTTCAAGTTCGGCTAATTTAAAACACGAGTCGAGCTCGAGCTAAGTCCTATCCGAGTTGAGCCCTACCTCGAGCAGAGCCTGACCCCGAGCAGCTCGTCTCAATTAACACCATTAGTGTTAGCCTTCTAGAGCTTTCTTGAAAAGAAGTTGATTAATATTGTGGATTTTAACTAACTTGAGCTTTGTTTTTTTATTGTCTTTCTTAAGGATTTATTTTTCCCCTTTTTGGCGAGAAAAATCAAGGCCGGAGTACCTTAGATTGATTTGAATGTTTAAATTTTCTGGTGAGAACTGAATTTACCCAGTATCATTCATTATTCTTACTGATAGCTTGTTGTAGGCATCATAGGCGGTGGGTTGCTGAGAAACTGGGAACTGATGCTATGAGGAGGGAACTTGAGTTCACCAAAAGAATTTTCTCCCAGGATGCCAAGAATTATCATGCATGGTCCCATAGGCAGGTAGTCTAAATTATCCTGTTATCTCTGTTTTGATGGAAAGTTGATGCATTTTCGGTACGTCAATGCAGTGTAGCTCTCATTTCCATTTAGCACCCATTCTTTTAAGCTTGTACAATTTTCAAATGAAATTTTTTTGAAAGGAAATTTTCCAAGTGAATTTGGCAATTGAAAGTTGGTTTTGTCATGCAGTGGGTTCTTCAGGCACTAGGAGGATGGGAAGATGAGCTTGCCTATTGTCAGCAACTCCTTGAAGATGACATTTTTAACAATTCTGCTTGGAATCAGGTAAAGCTAGAAGATTTGTGCGCTGATGAGATCTTAATAACACATGCATTAATATGGTGTGAGTCATGTATTCATGCTGTGGTGAGGTTACTTTGGTTTTTCACTTATGAAAAGTATAAAATCAGCTGGGTAATTGTATCGTCTTGATCCAAGATATTTATTCATATTAGAGGACAATACGAGTGTAAAGAGTTCATAAACCATAGTTATCTGAAGATTCTGAACTGATCCTCTGTTTGCTTGGATGCCCTTTGTCAACTATGGGTTGGTTTGCGCTAGGCCAGTTGAGTGTTCGGATCCGGACCAAGCTAAATGAAAGTTCAGATCTTATCCGTTTATGCCATGATCTGCAAGATATAGATCTATATCTGGATTTGTGGGGATCTGTAATGCTGGATACTTTGGCTGGATTACCAAATCCAGTCCCTAATTATTCATGGTGGGTTTTGTTTTGGAGGGAAAGTAAGCAGCATTTACTACTACCCAACTTGAAGCATCCATATCTATTGTTACAAAAAACAGAAAATTGTTGATCGGGCACATTCACTTTGTATGCTGTTGTATATATTCACAACTATTATGTATGCTTAGTTCTAAATCTCAAGGGCAGGCAGGACTGCCCACTAAGTTATGATTTTTACTGTCACAAACCCACAGATGATTAATCACCTATCTTAACCGTTTCTCTCCGTCTTCCACTCCCTTCTCCATATATGAAAGGAAAAAATAAAATTTATCAATCTTAAAAAATTTTAGTAGTCCAGTGCATTGCGTGTGCCACAATCTCTAGATGCATTTTAATGTACAATCAGAGCAGCGCCAAAATGGATTGGATATATATCTATTTATATCCTATCCATTGAAATACTTTTTAATCGAATTTGGATGGGAACCGGGTAACAAGATCTTGTTCCCCAATCCATATCCTGCTAGAACGGTTAGATCCAGGACATGATATATGATTTATTGACAAGTCTAGTTAACACAATTTGTCTAAATCTATGTAGGCACTATTTGCAAAATTTTCTAAATCAAAGGACTTTGCAGTTTGCTATTTAACAAATATTTTTTATGAATTATAACTGATTTTTTCATTATGAAAGACGTGGTTGAGTTTTGTTCTGTTATGTCTGACTTAAAGATTTCAGCTAATAGGTCATAATTATCATTGGCTTTTAAACTTTTCTGCTGTATTTTAGGTCTGCATCATTAAGCAACAAATAATGTTTCCTTATCATTCCGTGGCATAGTTTGCTCACCTGCTATGTGCAGAATGTCTTGTTCACACTAAAACTCTTCCTTTTGATTAGTGAATTTTTTTTGATGTTTGCAGAGATATTTTGTGGTGACAAGATCTCCTCTCTTGGGAGGCCTAGAGGCCATGAGAGAGTCAGAAGTACGTTATGCAGTTGAGGCAATTTTGACCAAACCGGAGAATGAAAGCTCGTGGAGGTACCTTCGTGGCTTATACAAAGACAATGCAAAATCTTGGGTAAATGATCCTCAAGTCTCTTCAGTCTGTTTGAAGGTTTTGACTTCCAAAAACAATTACTTGTTTGCTCTGGGCATGCTTTTGGATCTTCTCTGCCTTGGTTTTGAACCAAGCCAAGAACTAAAAAATGCTGTAGATGCTCTGAATTATGAATCAGATCCCTCAGATTCGAACTTGGCAAAAACAGTTTCTTCCATCTTGGAACACGTGGATCCGATGAGGGTAAATTATTGGAAGTGGCGCGGAAGTACAGTGCCTCACAAACGTGTCTGAATTTAGGATGGATAGGCTGGTCCGAGTCTGCAAAATTATTATGGAATTATATGTTTTTGGTGGTCGGTCTATCATGACTATGGGTTTTCTCAAACTGTTATTTAGTATTTTTATGTTGCTAGTTTTAACGAAACACTACCAAGGGGGGAAAAGGAGCAAAACCTGGATCCTTACTTGAATTTAGTGGCCAGTTGAGGTCATGCACCTGAAAGGTTTGAATGTTAGGGGACATTTTCATCACTTACTGCAAATTGCTGGTGACACTAATCTTCCCTTTGATTTTATGAATGCACCAAGTTAACACATGCAAAACAATTTTTATTTAGTTATTATGTCTAATTCGTTTAATGTAGTTAAAATGTTTATTTTGGTTAAATTTTTTACAATAATAATAATAATAATAAAAAGCATTGTTAAAATGTTTATTGTGTTTAAAAGGTTCGATGTTGATAGACAAAATTACTTAGATTAAAAGGTCAAAATGTAAATTTTTAACCGTTTGTTCTAAATGATCTGAGCAGATGTTTGTGAATAATATGAAAACAATGCTACTTTATTTTAATCTATTATTGTCATAGGTATATTTCTCTCTCTTTTTTGTTTTTTTTTTTTAACATGTCTGACCAAGAATGGTGGGAGTTAACTTGTGGACTTAAAAGGCAATTTTACTAAAACCTTGAGAACCAAATTTTTTGCATCAAACAATGTGGTGCAATCTTAGTTGAGTCTCTGGGACCCATTAATCCATCAATTATGGATTGTTTTGGTGCGAAAAGTTGGGTAAAACATTGTAGTTGTAGGAAAAATGTAGATGGTCTAACCGATCCTTGAATGCTTGATCATGCCCTAGTTGTGCATTGTGATGGTCAGTACACCTGTGGCAAACTCATCATGTGAGCATGTTTTGTTGTAATGCTGTGTGGTAGATCCTTAATCTTATTCCTTGTTTGCTCCCACGTCTTGTGGTGTGGAGGCTAATAGTAGTGGTAAAATGGTTGCGAGATGAACCCAACCATCAAGTTGAAATGGGTTATTGTGGAACGGTCACATAATTGAAATGGGTCTGTCTTATCAGAAAAAAAATACAAGGTGAAAAAGAAATAAACCCAAGCCTCTAAATAAATGAAAATCCATTACAACGTTCGCACAAACAACACTAGTTGTGACCATCATTGAACAAGTGACTTCATCAGGGAACCAAAAAATGTCAAAAAAGAACAAATTTAGACCGCACACACATACACACACAAATTTGCTCTAGAAAAAAAAGAAGTTTAAAGTACATTAATGCTACACACCATTTTGCTACACCACCTCAACATACACTAATAAATTAGCAGGTCTTATAAAATTTATTAAATATTCGATGGTTGAGATGTTATCACGTCAGGTAGTGTAAGTAAAGTGATGCACATACAAAGATTGTTTACTAAGGAAATCATCAGGCAATAATTCTAAAAGCTGATACAAAGATTGTTTACACGTCACAATCCTCCAACCACTATTAGGTTGCCTCACACCTTACACTACCCCATGTCAACTCTACAAGTGAGAGCAGGTAGCAAATGAAGAATCAGAATATCAATTATTCACAAGTAGTAGTTTTAGACATTGTTAAAGGTCAAGTTTACAATATTATTTGAGGATCGCCCACAACTACATAACTCAAGAAAAGAAAAAAAAATTGCAGAAAGAGACAACATTTTCCTCCATCTTTTTAAAACTAACGTAGTTCAAGGTGCAATGTGAAAAAGATAATAGTTGAGGGGCCAATGTGAAAAAATAGTCATAGGAGGTCAAAGCATAATGTTTTTATTTATTTATTTCTAAGCTGGCATATTAGACTGCCTCACCGACGTGCTGGACACAGTTGTGCTCTCGACTTACATTTAAATAAAAGACATAAAACGAGAACTTATATTGATTCTCTGTTAAGCTATTATATCATTTTTATTAACCATTGAAAAACTCTTTATTAATTAATTGATGGCTCATCGCTATGTCATTTATTTGCTTTTTTATTCCCGTGGAATTTTCACAATCGCGCGCTCCCATTGATAAATTGAATCAAATGTCAGACTATTATTTTCTAACTTTTTAATGTAGGTCCACGATATCTGATCCAAATTAGTCATAAGCAACCCGCCAAAAGAAAATCAAAATATTCCTTGGTAAATTGGGCAAAAACTTGAATTATGTACATACATACTTTTTAAAAAGGGTAAAGCAAAAAAACATATAAAAACAAGGTGCTATTGGGGGTTATACCTCATGATTTGTCAAGTATACTACAAAGAATGGCATGGATTGGGGAAGGGTGGGGAGAAATGACACGAAGATATTGGAACATCAATTTGGAAGAGATGATGGAGGTAGGAGTTCATTTTGGCCATGGTACTAGAAAATGGAATCTTAAAATGGCACCTTATATCTCTACAAAGCGTAAAGGTAGGAAATACCATTCTAGCATTCTAGCACAATATGAGGCGGGGTGGGCATCCAATTAGGGAAACTTATCTTTAATACTGCCATAACATCTGAAATCATGGTAATGCATGCAGATCATCAACCAATATATGGTGTTACTGCATAAAGAGTGGTGTTTATGCACAACTCATGATTGAGTTAATAACAACAAAACAACTGTCCTATTTATAACCCCCTCCCCCCCCC